CAGAGGTTAAGAGCACTAGCTGTTCTTGCAGAGGACCCAGGTTTGGTTTCCAGCACCCACATGGTGGTTAACAACTATATAATTTCGGTTTCAGAGGATCCAAATACCCTCTTCTTGCCTCTATGAGCACTGCACGGGTGCCCTTATGTACACGCAGGCTAAATACTCTGCCAAAATAAAAACAAGCTGGGCATAGTGACTCATTTAATCCCAGCACTTGGGAGGTAGAGGTAGGCAGATCTTTGAGATCATGGCCAGCCTGTTGTATGTAGCTAATTCCAGTTCAGCCAGGGCTACAGGGAGACCCGGACCCAGAATACCAAGCATAAATAAAAATATTTTAAGAGCTATAGTCTGATGAAATACTATAATGTAAAGAAAACTGTATGTTTTTGTGGTTTGCCTTTTTTATAGGATAAGCGTCTTGTACCTGGAGGTGGAGCAACAGAAATTGAATTGGCCAAACAGATTACATCATACGGAGAGGTATAGCTTTTTCTGTATACGTTGTCTTTCCATCCGTTTCTTGAATAAAATACAATAATCATGATTTGTTTTAGACGTGTCCTGGACTTGAGCAGTATGCTATCAAGAAGTTCGCTGAAGCATTTGAAGCCATTCCACGGGCACTTGCAGAAAATTCTGGAGTTAAGGCCAATGAAGTAATCTCTAAACTTTATGCAGTGCACCAAGAAGGAAACAAAAGCGTTGGGTTGGATATTGAGGTATTTGATAAAACATGCTTTATTTTCTGACTATACAACCTAAAATAGAAGTAATACGGAAATCAGTGCAAAATAGTGTCTACCAGTGAATGGTTTCCCTAACAATTACTTTGTACTTAGGTCTGTCTAATAGAGGAAATTTTAGTTTTACATTTTGTTGATGACTTTTGGGGGATATAAAGCACTGCTTACACTTTGTTACTTGTATTCTTTTTAGAGAGCTGTACAGGGTTTTTGTTGAATTTTCACATGAAAGCAATTACAATGAGGGGCTAGAGAGGTGGCTCAGCAGTTAAGAGCACTAACAGCTCTTACATGGAATTAGGTTCAATTCCCAGTACCCACATGGCAGCCAACAACTGTCACTCCAGTTCTAGGGGGATCTATTGCCCTCTTCTGTCCTCAGTGGACATGGTATGGGTGCACTTACATGCACGCAGGCAATACACTCAAACACATAATGAAAATATAAAGAAATTAAAACAACATGATGGGTTTGTTTTGTATTAACAGGCTGAAGTTCCTGCTGTAAAAGACATGTTGGAAGCTGGTATTCTAGATACCTACTTGGGGAAGTATTGGGCCATTAAATTAGCCACCAATGCTGCAGTCACTGTGCTTAGAGTGGATCAGGTGAGTGAAAAATGAAATTTTGATCTTCAAAAATGCTAGCTTTTCAGTCTTAGTTTGAGATGGCTCCATAGGCAAACTACTTGCCCTTCAGACATGAAGATCCAAGTTTGGATCCCCAGGAACTTAAGGCACAGACAACAGCATAAAAGGTGGAAAGTGAGGGCTGATGCCTTCCTTCCACAGGCGCCATGGCACATATTTGTCTACACTTACAAGAACGCATGAGGGCCTAAGTTTGGATCCTCAGCACCCACATAAAAAGCTAGGCATAACAGCATGCATCTGTAACCTCCATGCTTCAAGGACAGGGACAGGCTCAGCACTGGCTGGCCAATCTAGCCAAAATAGCAAGCCTCACGTTCAATGAAAGACTGTCTCAGAAGTGGCGTTCTAGAGGAAAAATCCCATCTGCCTCTTTCCTCTACAAACATGCACACACTCAGGGAGCTGGAGAGATGGCTCGGTGTTAAGAGCACTGGGTGCTCTTGCAGAGGACCTAGGTTTGATTCCCAGCTAACCACAGTCTGTAACTCCAGTTCAGGGGATCTGGTGCCCTCTTCTGCCCACGGGCTTTGCATGACACAGGTACACTTACATACGTGCAGGTTAACAATTGACACAATAAAAATAAATTTTCATATGGTTTAATGCTACACTTAAATAGTAAAATGTAGCACTTTTGATTATATTGTTATCTCTACACTTAAATCTTGGAGGTACTAGAGTTTCCACCAAATTTTTTTTTTTCTGGGCTAGAGAATGGAATGGCTCAGCAGTTAAGAGTACATACTGTTCCTGCAAAGGACACAGGTTAGATTCCCAGTACCCTATGGGTCACCTCAAAACTGCCTGTAACTCCAGCTCCAGGGGATCTGACTGCTGCCTCTGGGCATTGCAGTCATGTGCTCAAATGCATACCCAACACAGAAAATCTTTTAAAAATTTTCTTTCTGGTATGGTTTTAAATCTTTAAACCAAATCTGGTGTAGTTTAAGATCTTTACAGTGAAAGAAATCTTTGGCAAAAGATACGGGATTTGAATTCAGTTTTCAGACCTTTTTTTGAGTATTCTAAATAGTGAGTTTCAGATGTATCATGTAATGTAGAATGTGGAAAATACGGAAGAACCCTGAGTAAAAGCCCTGAAGCAGACATTGCACTGTCAACCTTAAGGAAATGAAATCTGTAGGAGTTTGTGGAACTGAAAGAACCTAGTCGTGTCAGTTTTTCTTTTGTTTTTTTTTTCCTGCCAATGACAAAAAACTTAGGGGCTGAAAGAGCTTCAGAATATTTCTGATTTTTTTCTATCACTGTGGTAAAGACTTTACAGTGATAAACCAGAACTCTTAATTTTCTAAAGTCCATTTGCTTACAAAATTCTACAAGTTGTCGGGCAGTGAGCTATAAGTACTTACAGAAAAGTTACAGTTGTTAGGGGCACAGTATACATCTGCTAACTGGAAATCATGCCAAGTTAGACCTGGGAGAACTTATCTGAAAGAATCAGTGGAAAGACTATTAGTTTTGTATCTAATACACAACAAGGACCAGTTGTGGTAATGATTAATGGTAGCTAACAAGTCTTTTCTGAATTGAGTTTTTTCATAGCTAAAGAAGATTTAAAAAAGAAGTTTCTCATTTCAGCTCATTACAAATAAGCAGAAGGGCTGGGATGTGTAGCTCAGTGTTTGCCTAGTGTATGCAAGGCACTAGGTCCAGTATCCAACACATACCAAACAACCCCAATAATTGGAAAGACGTTTCTGTACCTGTTAAGTTCACAAAGGAATTGATTTTTGGTTTTTTTAGGTTTTTGGTACGGATAATAGAATTCTAAAATGTTTACTCTGAATTGTACAGAACTACTTACTCTAGCTAGGTTTTAAACCAGGAAGCATGCTTTAGAGTATGGGAAGCTGTCATTAGTGATTGTCAAGTCTTTTCACTCTAAAGACTTTCACTTCTGGTCTTTTCACTCTAAAGATGCAGCTGAGAAATTCATCTAACTTTATTACCCAGTTTTTATTAGTATAACTTAGGCTCTTTAAAGCCAGTTGTACCAGTATACTGGCAGGTAAGGACTGGATTAGTCTTTGTCCAGATGTCTTACTACATTAAGCATGGTCCACAAATTGATGGCATTTGATGCCACCTAAAAACTTAATTCTTGGACCTCCCTCCAGATAAAGGGAGTTAGAAATTCTGGAGGCCCAGCAGTTTGTCTACCAAGCCCCTTCTGTTGTTTCTGTTTCAGTTGCTTTGCTGAGGAGCAAACCCAGAGCCTTGCACACAGAGTATGCAAGCATTATGTTCCAGCTCCCTCAGGTTCAGATATCTCTTGGATGCTTCTGTAAAGGATGTAAAACATACTGATGTAAAACTGTTTTCAACCCCATACAAAAAGATTTCTTGCACTAATTGGGAAAGCAATGCTACTGAAAGCCTTATTTTAGCTGTTCCCAAGTTTTATTTAAATTCATTTTGTGTCACCTACTGACACAAAATGACACAGCTGGCAGGTAGACCTAATGCTCCTAAACTTAGGAAAGTAGGGTGAAGATTATTGGCCTGATGGACATCAGATAAGTAGGAAATCAGGTGCCACACTGCTTTATACCAGTTCATGTCTTGAAATGTTCTTCACTAAGCTGAGGGGCTTTTGAAAGGCTCACCAGTAGAAGTTCAGTTTAATTTCTGACAAGTTGCTGACAGTTGCTAAGTTTATAAGCATATTTATGTGGGGTCTTGTTCTTTCCTGCAGATAATCATGGCAAAACCTGCTGGTGGGCCCAAGCCTCCAAGTGGGAAGAAAGACTGGGATGATGACCAAAATGATTGAATGGCTTTTTGTTGTAAGTGAAGAATTTGTAGAGTAGGAATTGCCTAATGTTTTCTTATTCTCCTTTAAGTGTTTTCTGTTTGTACTCTGGTGGATGATAAAATAAACATTACTGTTAAGTATCTTATGTCCAGTTTCTGGATCTAAGTGTCCTGCTTGTTTCAATACTGGTAATCAACATTAAGCTGTGAAACTTAAATGACTGTTTCTTTTTTGTGTGTCTGTCTGTGCATGCCTACTGCTTCTGTAACCATCATCATAGTTGTATCTTTCTGACAGGAGACCAAAGAGGCCTGGAAAGCCTAAAATAACTGCCAGCCTCTGGACTAGATTTTCAAAGTGGGACCCCAGCTGTAGCCTTGAAACACTTCAGACTCCTGTAACTGATTCAGTAGCATTATCTGTTAATGGAAGACTTATCTTCTAGTCGCAAAGTACAAAAGCAATGCCTAAAATACAACTGAAAATCAGTCTTCTGGTATATATACATTAACTCGGTGTTCCATCATGTCATACAAAAAAATTTTAATATATAAAATTTTGTAACATTACTTTAACTGTAGAATTAAAATTTTTTATATTCTTTCAAAGGAGTTTAAGACACAGTATGGTTTTAGTCCATACAGTGTCCTACACCTTTTCACTTCATAGAAGTCACACTGGCTGAATTAGGAGAGAAGTTTACAGGACACTTGGTACCTGATGAGCATGGACACAAGACTGGCTCAAGCTTGTGTCAATAGTGGCTTCTTCAGGTCAACAACAAATACAGCTCAGACATACCAGCATCAGAAGGATTACAGACATTTCTCCCAATTACTACTACAAACATACAAATAAATATCTGTCCTTATAAAATTAACCACACTTAAATGAACTTTTTTTTTGGGGGGGGTCCTTTTGAGACAGGGTCTCCTGCAGCCCCAACTGGCCTGGAGATCACTATAGGCTGGCCTTGAACCCAGAGATCTGCCTACCTCTGCCTCCCAAGTGTTGGGATTAAAGGCATGCATCAGCACGCCAGCCTGTAAATGCATATTTTAAAATATTTTCATTTTGTGTATGCATGTATTACCTGCATGTAGATAAATGTACCCATGTCGTGCAATGCACGACACAAACAGAAGAGGCCATCGGATCCCCTGGAACTGGGATTATGGACAGTTGTGAGTACTGGGATTTGAACCTGGGTCTTCGGCAAGAACAACCAATGTTCTTAACTGCTGAGCTATCTCTCCAGCCCCTGTAAATCCACATTTTTTTTAAGGCTAGGTCTGATGGTGGACACCCATAATCCTAACACTTGGGTGGAGACCAGCTTAGGGTACAGAGCAGTATGTTTTGAAATACTGTTTTTAGCATGTTGCCAGTAGGGGTATAGTAAGATATTTTAAGTAATAAAACAAGTTTTGGAGGCAAGTCAGTTTATTGATGGTTTGAGAATCACCACCCAGTCATATTAAGCAGAGGAATTAATTCAAATCTTTCTAAAAATGAATAAAAACCACTATAACAATATAAAAACCATTGTGAACTAAATATTTTGTCCTTCAGTACTTAAATAAACATTTCATCTGTCATGTACTTACATGAACATGATTTAGTCTTTAATATTTTATTGTTATTACAGCCAGTATAAAAGCCATAAGTGTATTTCTAGAGAAAGCACTTCAGATATTACAGTATTCTCTCATAAAACAGGAGGTATGCTTGTGAGTTTAGTACTTTAGTTACAGGCACAGCTTGCACATGTGTATCACTGATATGAAACCATTGCCCTTTGGTTGATTCCATTTCAAAACCTGTCAAAAAATATATAAAATTCAATACAAGTGGAAAGACTGAAGTTCATTGTTTTTCTAACTCTGGAAACAATCTACTAAATGCCTGAATTATCCAAGACAGCTTACCTTGTGGAATTTCACCATGAAGAACAAGATTAGAGAGATGACTGTTGGCAGTCCTTGTCTTGGCATAGGCAGTGTAGTGCCCTGACCTCATAGTACCACTGTGTTCAACAACTCCATATAAGGAATATAGTACTCGTGTGCTTTCTACAGCAACATTCTTTAAAAATGAAAAGAATCTGAAGTTATTTCCTGTCCCATTTATACAGGTGTCCTTGGTAAGAAAAGTTCACACACACGGGTCTTTAACTTTGACTTTTGTAAGTTCTCGTCGATCTGAACTTTCATACAGAGACATTTCAAATTTTAGTAATACTGCTATTAATGTGCTTATGACTTCCCTGGTACCAACAAATAATCCTTTTCCAACTGGGAGATCACCGGTGGTGTCTTTCTGTCTATCTGCATCTCCACTCATGCACTTTTGGTGAGGGGAGGGGAGGGTCTCACCGGGTAGCCCTGGAACTTGCTATGTAGACCAGAAAGGTCTCAAACTCACCTGCTTCTACACACTGGGTTTATTAAAGGCCTGCTCCACCACACCCAGGTAGCTGTACCCTGAGGCTTGTCCTTGGCTATGTCATTCATATCTGCCAGGCGCAACACAAAGGACACCACCTCATTTTGAATCACCACCAATGTACAGATTTCCAATCGACACCCCCCCGCCCAGGATTAATCTTTCTGCCCTGGGCATGAGACATATATTCCAAATGCTTCCTAGATAACATAAGCACACAGGTGCCCATAGAGACCAGAATTCAAAGTATCTCAAGTTGAACTCATTTTCCCCACTTCCCAACCTGTTCTCCCTGTATTTCCTGTCTTAATTTATAACTTCCATGTGCCCAGTCTACTCAAGCCAAAATCCAGGAATTCTCAACAGACTCTGCCTGACCTTGTAGCACCAATCATAACTCTGTTGAACTTACCTCCTTAAACATTCCTCCACTCTCCCTTCTGCTCTACTTTAGCCTTACTTACTTACTTACTTACTTACTTACTTACTTACTTACTTACTTACTGGTTGAATTGATCCAATTCCTTCCTAACTCACTGCCTTTTTAAGTCTGTTCTAAAATCTGGCTTCTACACTTCAGCAAATCATTTGTGTAATATTCAATAGGACTTGATCACTTTACTCCTTCACCACTTTTGTGACTCTCCATTACATAAGGCCAAGTCTCTGGGCATGGAAGCTCTTATTCCCATCTCACTTCTTCGGCTTCATTTCCCTATCCTTGGCTCTGGAAGTGTAGAACTGTATACTGCCAGTGTCTGGCAGGCGCATAGTGTTACGCTTTTATTCCTGTTAATATTTTTGCTGGAAAAACTTTTATCCTGATTTCATCATACTAATTTTTACACCTCCTTTAAGTATTGGCTGAGACATTCTCTATTTGATACAGCATTCCCTGAAACACCAACATGCTGCATCCTGCATCTCTTCCATGTCCACCAATCCTCACATTCAACCATAGTAATCTGAGATTAACATTGTATCTGCCCACCTTTTGTTTTTTCCCTCTGTCTTTTCAGACAGGGTCTCTATGTAGCCCTAGCTGGCCTGGAACTCACTATGTAGACGAGGCTGGCCTCCATCTCTCAGAGGTCCGTCTGCCGCTGTATCCTAAGTTGGGATCTCATCTAGTTTTATGCCCTCAACAATCAAGACAGTTTTTGCCATAATAATGGAGATTCAAAGTAATACTGCTCTAAAATAATCTTCAAAATGACTCATCACAGATACTGAAATGATAAAAGGTGCAGTGATCAAAGTCTCCCTTAATAGCTGTAGGCAAGCACTCCATCACTAAGCTATGTCCCCAGCCAGCCCTTCAAAAATTAACTTCAGGGGCTGAAGAGATGGCTCCGTGATTAAGAGCATTGGCTGCTCAAATTGTCAACTTGAGCCAGGTATGGTGGTACATGCCTTTAATCCCAGCCTGGTCTACATACCAAGTTCCAGGCAATCGGGCTACAGGGGGAGACCTTGTCTCAAAAAGACCAAAAAACAACTTCATGAGATAATGGAGTATGTATGTATAGTTAGGCTATAATTTCTCTTCATTGTAAGAACACATTTTTACCTACCTTACATTTAAGGGTACAAAAAGGAGCCAAATCTAAGATTTCCGGAAACTTTATGTGTCTGTTAATCAACTTCATGAGATATTGGAGTATGTATGTATAGTTAGGCTATAATTTCTCTTCATTTTAAGAACACATTTTTACCTACCTTACATTTAAGGGTACAAAAAGGAGCCAAATCTAAGATTTCCGGAAACTTTATGTGTCTGTTAATTTTGCGTAGGTTAAAACCAGCCTGAAAAAGGACAATAACAGATTTTCTTTGGGAGGGAAAGCTTTTCAGATTAAGTAATTATCCCTCTGATGCCCAAAGAACTCCCAGCCCTAGTCAAACTTCTAGGGAGACTCTTCCCAACCAGAACTTGATTCCAAGTTGTTATTTTCTCTTAGCATAACATACACAGACACACACACACAACACAAAAGCTACTCCCATAATTCTCCGTTTCTGCTTTAGTCACAACCTCCCCCTAAGCAAGAGGAGACGCAGAGATTTTGACTTCCTAAAATTCAGCAAGAGCAGCAGATTTTGCTATGAAGCATTTTTCACCTAATGTTCTAATCAAGCTTAAGAAATTGCTGATAGGGGCTAGAGAGATGGCTCAGCAGTTAAGAACACTGGTTGTTCTTGCAGAAGACCCAGGTTAGAATCCCAGCATCCACATGGCAACTAACAACTGTCTGTAACTACAGTTCCAAGGGATCTGACAGCCTCTTCTGTCTTCCCTGGGCACTGCACAACACGGGTGCACTTACATGCAGGCAATACACGCATATACATAAAAATTAAAAAATATTTTTAAAAAATAAAAAAAGAAACTGGTAATAAAGGCCCACCCAGTTCGTCAAGTCAATACCAACCATAAAAGGGGAAATGCCCTTAAAATCCGAAAAGTACTTTTACAGTTTGGAGAATTTGAACGCTGTAGTAGTGATTTTCCAGAAAAGGTCACCAAAATTAGGAAAATCTAATGTACGTCTGTTTAGTAAAAGTTAATAAAAATAAGATACAAAACCAAAACAGAAAAATGATTATATTCCTAAGTGTAAGGTGTAAGTAGTAAACTGGTATTCAGAGTAAGATACTAATAAACAATAATAGAGTTCTAGTAAAGGACTATCTGAATTTCTCCCCCTGGGTCTGACATGCTCACACATTTTAGTTTCCTACTTCTTTGAAATCAGAATTAAGAAAAAACAAAGCACAGTAGAGACAATAAGAAAATAGGTGTCACATATTTAAAACAAATTGGAGGTAACAAGGGTACCTGCTGAAATCTCTTTAAATGAAGAGTGAGAACAGGAGGAGCCAGAGAAATCAGCATCTGCTTTTTGGCATTGGTGTAAACATGCTTCCTTTCACCTAAACAAAGTTGAAATTTCAGCATGTGAAGATTTTCAACCTCCAAAACATTCAGATTTGCTACAAAATCATTTCAAACATCTAAAGCAAGGATCAACAAACTTCTGCAAAGGACATGATAATATTTGGGGTTCTATTAACCAAAAGGTAAGAATCAAAGTTTTAGTATTTATATATATATACTTTCCATAAATACTGAATAAAATCTAAATACAATAATTGAATCTGATTTTACCGTATTAGAATGGAATTGTATTAAAGAGCATACATTTTGGTTAATTAGGGTTCAAAATGAGTGTTCCCTATATCATCAAATCATTTATACTTACCTATAAAAATATTTTTGAGAAGAGAAGGTTGCATGGTGGCACATGTCTGTAATCCCAGCACTAGGAAGGTGGAGGCAGGAGGATGGCAAGTTTGAGGCCAGGTGGGGTTACAAAGCAAGACACTATCTCCAAATAACTTTATTTTGAAGACTTAAAATGCACTTCAGGGGCAAACTGCACAAGGCCCTAGGTTTAATCCCAAACACCAAAAACTATACTTTTGAAAAGTGGTACATAAATCAGATGTCTGGAGGTACTTGACATATCTCCATCCATTAAAAAAAAAATGACCAAATTAAAAAACACTGTATCAAATGTTGCCTATGTATCTTAGCTTCCCAGTATCTGCTCTAAAATAAAAAGTCATAAAATCAACACTATTCTTTTCTTTTTTTAAATATGTGTATGAGTGTATTGCCTGCATGTGTGTGAGTGCACCCGTGTCATGCAACGCCGCAGAGGTCAGAAGAGGGCTTCAGATTCCTGTGGAACTGGAGTTAAGGATGGTTCTTAGCTGCCATGTGGGTGCTGGGAATCAAACCCAGGTCCTCTGCAAGAGCAGTCAGTGCTCTTAACCGCTGAGCCTTCTCTCCAGCCCCAACACTATTTATTGTTTATGTCTAGATGTAAATAAGATATGACTTTAAAATACTCGAGCTCTAGTAAAAATTCTTACCTGTGATATCCTCCCCACTTTTAATCCTATCTAAACTTCAAAAGAAAAAAAAGGAGGGCCAGAGGGGAATTATCAGTATCTTTCTGTTCCATATTTAGGGGACATAAGAAAGCACAGTCCTCTTGCCTACTTGATTGAAAAACACCAAGGGTGACAAGTGAGATCAAGGCCATCACAAATTCTGTCAAGGAAATGAGCATGTAGAGAATCAGCCACTATCTGTAAGGATGCTATTATGACAGCATGCCAACAAGTTAATTGACACACACAGACAAGAGAAAAAGGCTGTCACACTTTAACTGCTGCTGGGATACCACAGAGTACTAGGCACCTCAATAAAGTTCTTTCATCCTTCTGTTAAAATATTAACACACGAGAGCACTCACACGCTCCAAATCTTGGCGTGATAATAAGTCACAAGTATTCTGCCTACAAAATACACCTTTTACTATTTTATTTACAGTGAGAAAATATAAATACCTTTAATACCTTTTATATTTGCCTTTGGTCCATTACACTGTCTTCTTGTGCATGCTTCACACAGTAGTTTATTCGCATCTTGAAGTGTCTCATTACGGGTGAACTGATACAGACAATGCTGGATTGAATACTCATCAGTACTAAAAGCTTCCCTGTTCGCAAGAGTACAGAAAGCAGTTTCTGGATCTTCATTTACAACCTCATACACCTTTGTCCCAAGATCATGACTGTCATTCAGAATCTCTATATTTATTTCATCAGGATGAAGAGCAGCATTCAAATTAAGGTTTTTGAAATCACTGGTAAGGTCTAGTTCTCCACTGCTCCTTTCCTCCAGGCAGACACCATTTAAATTCCTGTCAGATGTCAAAACCTCCAGAGCACTATCCATACTGACACCACTCACACCTAGTTCCTCTGGGGAGTTTTGATTGTCAGTTGTATTTTCTATCGTTTTCTCTTGGCCATTTAAATCTTTTAGATTAACATCGATTTCTGTATGTGTAACTTCCTCTTGTGAAATATGGTTGGAGTCAATATCCACTTCTCCCACGGGTGACATTTCAGCCTTACACTCATTTTCAGTGTGGTCAGTAGCACAAATATTGTTTAGATGAAGAACTTTCTCTTGAATTTTTTGTTGTCGTCGTTGGTTCTGTGAAAAAAGCATAAAGAATCAAAAAGAGAGAAGTAGGGATGATGAAGAGACAGACCGAGATTCAAGAGAGGAAAAGAATGCACATATACCACCTCAGGTTTTGTCTCTTATGAAATATAAATCAGTTTATAAGGAGTTTACTCTCAAATTCTGATTTTAAGAATTCCTTTATTATCAGAGTTCAAATAAATTATAGTTGAAAATTCTTCAAATCAAATCAAGAATAATCACTGTTCATCAAAACATTGCTCCACTGGGGAAATAAAAATTTGAGCAGTGACTTCTGTTCTATGAGAGGTGAACTAAATGAGCTCTAACTGAAAACTGGCAGCCAAGTACCAAATTATGTGTTGATGCTGACTACTCAGCAGAAAGATGTATTGACATGAGTTACATTACTAGATCCAGTCTTGCTGAGAAGACAGCAAATTGAACACTAAAGGATGCACAAGTACAGGATGGATAAAGCATTCTGGAAAGGGGGGAAAAATGGACTAAAGTTAACAAAGAAGCAAGAAGCACACGAACACACATGTACAAAAAGAACAGTACAAGATTCTTTTCCTCACAAAATTTACCTTTGTGTAGGGGGACAGTTACCAGGGGAGAAAGCACAAACAAGAAGCATAATGATAAATATATATGAAAATGAAAATGTCAGCCGGGTGTGGTAGTGCACACCTTTAATCCCTGGCAGAGGCAGGCGGATCTCTGTGAGTTCAAGGCCAGCCTGGTCTACATAGAGAGTTCCAGGACAGCTGGGGCCACAGGGAGACCCTGTCTCAAAAAGACCAAAAAAAGAAAATGAAAATATCACAATGAAGCAAACTCAATGCTCTGCTGTTTTTAATCATTAAAAAAAAAAAAACCAAATATACGATAAATGAAATGAAAAGCATGATTCTCTGTAGAGCTACCCACCTTAGCTTGCTTTTTGGCTTGCTTCTTTGCTTTTTTCTGTAAGTGCTTACTTGTTCCTGAAAGAATATCATTTCTTGCTTTCATGTGACTGTCATCATCTTTTTCGTCCTCACTGTCTTTATCTTCTTCCTCCATTATCTTTTTCAGATTTTTATCATTTATACTTTTCTTACCACACTGAAAATATGGAGAAAATATTGATAAAAATTAAGTTTACAACTACTATTTGGTGAAAGAAAAATTCATGCATCCCAATGATTTTTTACTCCTACATTAGGCTTATTTTCCTTAACATATGAAATGTCATATGACAGACAGCAATCTTACATACTGAGAAAACAAACAAAACAGCAGAAAAGCAGTATCAGGGGCTGGAGAGATGGCACAGCAGTTAAGAGCATCTACTGCTCTTCCAGAGGACCAGAGTTCAGTTCTTAGCACCCATGTTGGGTGGCTCTTGAACACCTATGGCTGCAGCTCCAGGGAGATCTGACACCTCTGGCCTCCACAAATAGCTGCCCTCACACATACACACACACACACACACACATTCTCTCTCTCTCTCTCCCTCTCTCTAAATGTAGATACATGCTGTAGCATGTTGTATTAATGTCCTTTCATAAGTGCACTTTCTGTAAGTGGTTTATATAATTCAGACCCAGCATTCTTTTCTTTCTTTGCATGTAAATGATACGTTTTGAAGAAAAGAGAAGGTAAAAGTTTGATGACACTTCAGCTACTAAGTAACATAACAATGGATTCCTAGTTGATATGAACTGGAACAAACTAAGATAATACTTTCTAGTTACTGTTTATGCACCTTAAGGTATAGGGAATGTGGCTAATCTTAAATAATGAAGATAGTTATTTTAATATGAGAAAAATACTTTCTTATATAGTAGTAATCAAATTACTACCCATAAAGAATTCTAGAGGTGCTAGAGAGAAGAACGAGCTCTTGCACATGGCTCTTGGCACCCACATGGTGACTAACAGCAGTCCAAACTCCAATTCCAGGTGTTCCATCCCCTCTGGCTTCCATTGGCATTGCAAGCACGTGGTGCACTTATGTACACAGAGTACAAACACTCATACACATAAAATAAAAATAAATTAAAAAAAGAATGATGAATTCTAGACATACTCTCGCCATTTTGTGTGGATGTTGGGAAGTCAAAGGATCTATATGAGTGTGGACTTTTCCAGCACATCAGTAAATACGGGGCGCCCACTCTTCTGTAAATAAATCCCCACCCTGTGCTCTGTTAGCAAGCCTATGAACTAGTTAGGATTTTCAAAATAAATAAGTAAATAGCTAGATGGATGGATGGAAAAAGAATTCTAGATACATCATCTTTTTTTTTAATATTTATTATTTTTATTTTATGTGTATGAGTGTATTGCCTGCATGTATGTGAGTGCACCTGTGTCGTGCAATGCCGCGGAGGTCAGAAGAGGGCTTCGGATTCCCCTGGAACTGGAGTTAAGGACGGTTCATGCCACCATGTGGGTGCTGGGAATCGAACCTGGGTCCTCTCCAAAAGCAGTCAGTGCTCTCAACTCCTGAGCCATCTCTCCAGCAGTGGTGGCACATGTTTTTAATCCCAGCACTCAGGAGGCAGAGGCAGAGGCAGGCAGATCTCTGTGTGTTCAAGGCCAGCCTGATCTACATAGTGAGTTCCAGGTCATCTAGGGCTACAGGGAGACCCTGTCTCAAAAAGATTAAAAAACAAAATTTATTTTTATGTGCATGAGTATAATGCCCACAGATGCCAGAAGAGGGTGTTGAATTGCCTGGAATTAGAGTTATGGACTGTTGTTAGCCACCACTTGGGTGCTAGGAACTGAACCCGGGTCCTATGCAAGAGCAGCCAGTGCTCTTTACACTGGAGATGGAGAGCCATCTCTCCAGCCCCAATGTATATATATTTTTAAAAGTAAGCAGTATCCCCCATAACACCTAACATGCTAAATATATAAATAAATAAATAAATAAATAAATAAATAAATAAAAAATAATTCTTCAAAGCATAAAAATTTGCTCCTTAATAATTAGTAGATGTGAAAAACATTACTATTGAAATCTACCTGATGACTTTATATCCATGCTCAGATGCCAAGGAGCTCAGAAAGTAACTGACTGTCACTAGTAATAATCAGATATATAGGGATTAGAAACGCATTTTCAAACATCAGAAGAGATTCGCATTAACCATTATATATTAGGATTACTCTAGAGAGGAGGGGTAGAGGGCTTTAATAAACAAAATATTATGAAATCTGAAAAGAAAAAAATTACAGAGTGTTGAAGACTGGGTTAGAGAAATAATTAAAAGTTAAAAAAAAAAAAAACTGCTGGGCGCGGTGGCGCACGCCTTTAATCCCAGCACTCAGGAGGCAGAGGCAGGTGGATCTCTGTGAGTTCAAGTCCAGCCTGGTCTACATAGTGAGTTCCAGGCCAGCTGGAGCTACAGGGAGACCCTGTCTCAAAAAGACCAAAAAAAAACCCAAAAAACTAAATTTAGGAATGCTGATATTTCTAGTGAAGAACCGTAAACATCTTGACAGTTCATAAAGAATATCCCATGAAGGCTGGACATGGTAGTCCATGCCTTGATCTCAGCACTCAGGAAGCTGAGGTAGGATGACTATGGTGAGTGCCTGGACAGTCTGGGTTACATAACAAGACCATGTCTCAAAACAAACAGACTGCCCTACAAAGTTGGACATTTATGTTTTAGGAAGGAACAGGGTTTAACTATATTCATAAATACTAATGTATAATCCAGCCCACATGACCTTCACTTACAGTCCTGCATTCATCACACATGATTGTACTAGTTAGTTCACCACCAAAGATGCGGTCCACAAAACTTGGTACTGGCTTTTTCTTTTCATAATCTGTAGCAACAACAACAAAAAATTACAATTAATTTGAAAGAACCAATGGAAGAAAAGTTAAAATGACTTACCTATCTAGATCTTAAATTTTCATATTTAATTTCCTGTCCAAAAAAGACATTTTCCTCTATTAATAATTACATTTCTATTTATCAGCATCTCTATCAGTAATCAGACTGGGCTGACACTGCAGTTCCTTTGCTCTAGTGCTCACCTCTAGTATTAAAAAATACTTGGAGAAAAACGCATATAATTTGCCTTGTGAACTCAAAATTGAGTATGCATATAATTTGCCTTGTGAACTCAAAATTGAATACCTTTTGTACACACGTACACACACACACACACACACACAAAAAAAAAACCTGGTAACTACCTCATATAAAATGTTCCTTTTGATTTTTAGTCCCAGATATGATTTTGTTATTTTGTTGTTTTTTTGATAAATTTAAAATAAAATAACATCTTATTATCTAAACACTTAATTTTCCAAATACATGAAATGTTTAAGCATTACTCAAATGACAGAGGCCTGTACGCAGACACTTTTAGGAACAATGGTGTCAGAAGGCACTATTTCCTTTGCTACTGGCCAGGCTCTACAGGATGCCAAGGACCCAGAGCTGCTGAGTTGACCAGAACCTGAGCTTTACAATACTGTATCCCTTAGTTACTGTGGCCACTGAAATTTAATAAAAATAAAAATTTAGTTTTCCAGTTGCACCAGTGACATTCTATTGCTCAACAGCCACATGCAGCTAATGCTGTCTACACAGGGCAGCATACAGAAGAGATCCATCATCATGTTCAGTTCTATCGAACAAAGCTAGGCATCGTGGCTCACAACTGAAATCCCAGCACTCAAGGAGCTGACCTAGCCAAGTTTAAGGCCAGCCTGAGCTACACAGAGAGTTCTAGACCAGCCTGTGCTAGAATGAGACCCTGTCCTAAATCCTTAAATGCCACATGAGCTCCATGACTAATAACCAGATACTGACAATTCATATAGTGTCCGTCATGTATGGCTGCTAGCTATAAGCCTAAGTTTCTAAAAAATAAAATTATGTTACCTCAATTCTATCTTCACAGATTTCAATATAATATATATAAAAGACTATGCCACAAGTTAAAAATTGTTTCAAAATATTGACCCTTGGAATACGAAATAATTTTTAAAATTCAATGGTAAAATGGAGAAATTGTGTTTATAAGTGTGGATTTGAAATACATGTGTCAGTAATGTTGTCCTAAGGGGCAGAGGAATTCAACTATATTGTTTTAGTTCAAAAAGTCAGACATTACCTTTAACTTTATTTTTTACTTCTTCATCCAATTTTTCAGTAGAATTACCAAATGCTTTAAGAATTCCTTTACTCACTCTCTAAAAGTAATAAAATGGATATATATATACTATTAAATTTTTAATTTTATAGTTATTTTCCTTAGAAAATATGTAATAAATTCAAGAAAGGATCAAGATGTAGCTCCCCAAATTTACTAAAATAAATGTTAATGTTTCCCGAATCACATTTTCAAAATTAATTCAAGGAGCTAAAAAGAAATTATGCCTTAATTATTAAGCCTATAAAGCAAACCCCTGCATAAAATTACTCTTCCTATTTGAAGATCTTAGACCTAGTCAAACCAAAGCTCTTCAGGACACGCCCACCTCCTTAGGAAAGACAGTGAACCCAAGAGCTATAAGGACTAGCTCCAGCACTTGACGTCCCACTGTACCATTACTGAGTGACCTTGAACTAAACGTTGGACTTCTCTATGCCTTCACTACACCCATCTATGGGGTAAGAACATAATCTATCTCATAAAATGGTTGTACAAACTGGGTAAGATAATTCATACAAAACACAGAGCACTACCTGGTATAAGTGCAGAATTAGTTATTACCACTGTTATCAGTACAATTATTAATTATATCTATGCCTCCAAAATGCATTAGTTTATATCCTGACAATTAGCAAACCTTTTTAACTCCTGCCTCTTATCAAAATGAAAATTCTTCCCAGATTCAAAATGCTGTATTAGATAATAGTGAGAAAAAGAGGAAGTGTGTGCTGTAACAAGGAACCATTTGGGAAGAAAACACTGTCCAGTACTCTGCGACTCTCCTGGAAGAGGCTGGTACCACAGAGCCCTGACAGAACAATACTGCTGCAAGTCCCAGGTAAACAAAGGCATCTTGAAAAAGAGAACCATCCTAATTCTCTGGATTTATTTTAAAGAAATAGACTGGCAGGAAACCTGCTGTAAATAAATGTTCAAAAGTACAAGGGTCTCAATGACTAGCCTCTGCTTTAATGACTCCTAGGATAGCACAGGCAGACAGGTCATGAGAATATAAAAAGGCTCTCAGAATATGCTAACTTGGTGTTCTTCTGCTCTCATCCCATCCAGTAAGTAGCGAAGTAGCTCCTGGCTATCTTGCTGTTGGTAGCCTTTGAACCGCACCGCTCTGCAGAGAAACAAGAAGAAAAGCAATGATGAGTCCACTAAAATACGTCCAAGTTTAGGATTATATCCCAAATAACAGTATTCTAATTTTCTCAAAATCTGTGTTTGGTCTAGTAACAAATACCCTTAGCAGATTTTATTGTCACATAAAGTATGTTGCTTGCTTTTAAATTCTAATGATATATATTTACTGAGTTGGCTCTAATGTTTTTAGTTTTAAAACTAATTCTCAGCATCTTACCAATGCACTGAAAGCACAATGAAGTGGATACTCACTTTTTACAGACCTGAGAAAAGAGCTCTCTAGGCGTCACAATTCCCTTTTTGGTCTCTTGCATCTCATTAAGAAACTGGCTCATGGCTAAAGTGAGAGGGCCTGGAGGCTCAAGATTCACTTCTAAAGGTTCCTGAATATTAAGAATAAAATTACTTCAGTCAAATGTTGGAATCATTTCCTTAACTAAAATGTAACTAGTTAATATATTTTGCCAATATTCTGAGAGAGCTGCCTATTTAAACATTTGAAAGGCATAGCAAAAGAAACTTTCTGGTCAAAAACTCTTATGAAAAATTCAGCTCTGGGCCAGAGTTGGGTAAAGCTCATGCTGTGCAAACCTGACAACCAGAGTTTGATCCTCGGAACTCATGTAAAGGTGGAAAGAGAAAATCAACTCCATAAAGTTGTCCTCTGACTAACACATGCATACTGTGCCACACATACTCCCACCCATACAGTAATAAAAAATAACTGATTTTCAAAAATCAGCTCTATTTTAGTTTTAGATTAACAGGATCTTAGTACCTAAGAACTGAAAAAGCCAAAGCAAAAATATACATAATAAAAATGGGTAAGGCAAAATTTATTTGGCTACACAGTACTTAAGTCACATAGAAACAACGCTACCCTGGGACTTCACAAAAACCAACATTCCCAAGAAGAAAGTGAACTACTAATACATAAAAAACCATATCATACACATAGCAAGCAAATGTAAATCTTCTTATAATATCTATTAGCCTGAAATTGTTTAACTTATAAACCAAACAAAAAGGCAGAAATGAGTTCAATTCTTCAAAACAATTTAAATTACGGATATTCACAAAGGAGAAAGTTACTCATAAAACAGCTTAAAGACTTTTTTACATTTATTTATTTGTGTATAGGAGGGGCTGCAAGTGCTGTGTCAAGGCATGTGGAAGTCAGAGGAAAACTTTTGGAGGTGGGTTCTCTCTTTCCACCATGTGAGTCCCAGGAATCAAACTCAGGTCTTCAGATTGGAAGGCAAATGCTGTTAATCAATGAACCATCTCCCTGGGCCAATTTAAAAAAGACAAAAATACAGCTGAGCACACACCGCCAATCCCAGCACTTGGAAGACTGAGGCTAAAGGATTACCACAAGTTGAGGCCAGACTGGACTAACAGCAAGTTCTCAGGCTAGCCAAGGCTACAAAGCAAGAACCTATCTCAAAAAAGAAAAAAGGGAGTGCTGTGATGCACGACTTTAATTCCAGCACTTGGGAGGCAGAGGCAGGCAGATCTCTGTGAGTTCAAGGCCAGCATGGTCCATAAAGTGAGTTCCAGGCTAGTGAGAGCTACATGGTATGATTGTCTCAAAAAAACAAAACAAAAGGGGCTGGAGAGATGGCTCAGTGGTTAAGAACACTGACTGTTCTTGCAGAAGACCTGGGTTCGAATCCTAGCACCCACATGGTAGCTAACAACTGTCTGTAACTCTGGTTCCAGGGGATCCAACAGCCTCTTCTGTCCTCCTCGGGCATTGCATGACATGGATGCACTTACCTACATGCAAGCAATATACATGTACACATTAAAAAAAAAAAAAGAAGAAAAAAGGTTAAATAAAATAAAATACATACTGTTAGTGCCAAATCAGGTGGTTCTATTTTCACAATTGTTCCAGACATTCTCACTTCTTTTATTAGTTCTCTAAGCACTGGTGTTTGTGACAAGTTCTATAATGCAGGACAGAAAATAAGGACAATTGTAGAATTAGCTCACTCAACTACTTCCTACCAAAACAGAAAATCACAATCAACACTGGTATCTTTATTGCATCTCTATCTAGGACAGGAAACATTACAACATGCTCTTTTCCCTTATGTGGTTCACAAAAGCAGTTTTGAATTTACACATCACTTTGGAGGGACATCTCCTATGATAGGATGAAGTATGTTCCCACATCCCCATCATAATTCTCTCCCACCACTTGCTACCACTTGCTAGCAATACCATGATTATATTTATCAGGTTATCCTGGGCTTCCCTTATCCAAATGCAAGTCTCATGAGATGGCAGAGGCTATGATTGTGTGAAACCTCACTATGTTAGTTTTTTACAATAAATACTTTGTGTTTACTTTGAAAACATAGGAATAGATTATATGGGAAGATCAAAAAAAAATGTAAATTTCAGACTCTAGAGGGAAAGGGTGAAATTTTTTAAAAGGGAAGAAAAAGCCTCTGGCACCTGCATAACTGCATTGAAGAAACACGTATTTCCCAAGTTACTGAGTCCTTTCACGGTTACTTGGGAAGCAGAGTTCATGGGAGGATTTTCTTTAGCCATGTTTTCCTTTTTTTCTCTCTCGTGTTCATTTTTACTCTCTTTCTCCAACTTTTTATTTTCAAGTTCAATGTTCCCATTATCTTTCTCTGCTTTAAAAAGGAGAAAAAGAAGAAAGATTTGGCAAGATTTGCAATATACTCATATTAAATGCAAAGTTACACTTGGAACACAGTACTAGTGACTTTGCCATTTAAGTAAGTAAAGGTAAACACACATAAGAATCAATAAATATTCAGAACTGATAAAAAGTCAACAGTTTGACAAACGTTTGATACAAATGTTTGGTACAAATCTTCCCTTATTACATATTTATTCTATATAAATGAATTTATCTTACCTTATAGAATTAGAACCAAAACAAATAAAGAATGTGAACATAATGTTTAAATGAATTCTACTGACCAAAAATTAATTCTGACAAAAATAACAACTGTGGCCCTGAGAAACATACTTGACACCACAAGCATCTAAAAAACAAGCTTAATGCAAATGCTATAGGCCAAGGCAATCCTCTGAACTCTCAGGAAGAACCTGAGACCATTAGGACTTACTAATCAGGGCTGAGGATGTCGCTCAGTTGGAAGAATGGCTGCCTAGCATGCATGAAGCCTAGAGTTTGACTCCTAGGACCTCCTAAAACCAAGAATAGTGGCACATGCCTGTTATCCCAGAGCTTGGGAACTAGAGGCAGGAATATCAAAAATTCATCAAAGTCTGGTTCAAATACGTGAAATCTGCTGAGGGGCTGGGGTGAGGAGTGCTATGGGGGGTTGCAGATGGTGGGAGGAGATCTAAATATGATCAAGATGTAAGATGTATTGAAAAATTCAATTAAAAAGAAATGTTCAAAGTAATCCTTGGCTACCTAGCAAGTTTAAGGCCAGCCAGGGCTACATAAGACCCTATTATCTCTAAAAAAAAAACCCCTACAAAACAAATAGTTAAAAATCTTCATTTTAACCAGGCGTGGTGGTGCACACCTTTAATCCCAGCAGAGGTAGGCAGATCTTTGTGAGTTCAAGGCCAGCCTGGTCTATATAGTGAGTTCCAGGCCAGGCCACAGGGAAACCCTGTCTCAAAAAAAAAAAAAAAAAAAAATTTTTTTTTTCATTTTACTTAAATGACAGAAACTTTTCTATTACAAAATGTGCCATACTATGTACAATATAAAGTGTGTCTACAGGAAGGCTTTGGCCAGGATTATGAGACCAGGGCCTATTTCCTCATCTTTAATCAAGGCCCTTCATCACATGTGACTAGCATTTCTCACATATGTTCAATTCTAATCCTCACAGAGGCAGATATTCTCACTCTTTTATATTCTGAACCAAAAATAAGTTCACAGTTTAAAATGAGCCATAACTAACATTACCAGCTAAATTCAATACTAGGCAATATAATAAATAAATCTAAATCTAAACAAATAAGCTAGGGGTAGTGGCATGCACCTGTAAACAGAAGGCTGAGGCAGAAGGATAGCAAGCTCAAAGTCAGACTGAGCTATATACAAGTTCTGTCTCAAAGTAAATGAGAGAGTAAATAAAAGCAGCTACATGAATCAACATTACAGTATCTATTAAGAAAAAATTTTTACCTGATTTGGGAGTTGTAATACCAGATTGTTTTCTAATATAATCAACCACTTGGCCTAATCGGTTTGAACTACAATACTGTACTTCCTCATCGCAGATGTAACACCTATGATAGAGAAGAAAAATGACAAACTGACCACCAAAAGAAAAAGAGACGGGGCTGGAGAGATGGCTCAGTGGTTAAGAGCACTGGCTGCTCCTGCAGAGGACCTGAGTTCAAGTCCCAGCATGAACATGACAGCTAAAAATGTTCTGTAATTCCAGTTCCAGGGGAGCCAATGCCCTCTTCTGACCTCCACCGGCACTGTACAACACAGGTGCACTTACATACATGTAGGCACTCATACACATAAAATAAAAAATTAAAGTGACAAATTATTATTGGTTTTTGGTTTTTGTTTTGAGATGGGGTTTCCCTGGAGCCCCAGCTGCCCTGGAACTTACTATGTAGACAGGCTGGTCTTGAACTCACAGAGATCTGCCTGCCTCTGCCTCCTGAATGCTGGGATTAAAGGCATAAGGCACTATGCCTGACAAGAGTGACAAATTATATACTTTGGGGAGCCCTAAGTGTTTAGCTACCAAATTATTCTATTAGAAAAACTGAAAATAGGGCTGGCAAGATGGGTCAGCGGGTAAAAGCACTTGCCTCAAAATCCTGAAGACCTGAGCTCATTCCCCTAAACCCCTGGTAGAGAAGTGACTCCGGAAAGTTGTCCCCTGACCACCACACCCACACCCACATGCACAAATACATGTAAGCTTTTTAAAAAAATATTTTATTATTTTTATTTTATGTGTAGGCGTGTATTGCCTGCTTGTAGATAAGTACACCTGTGTTGTGCAATGCCCGTGGAAGACAGAAGAGGCTGTCGGATCCCCTAGAACTGGAGTTATGGACAGTTGTTAGCTGCCATGTAGGTGCTGAGATTTAAACCCAGGTCTTCTGCAAGAACAACCAGAGTTCTTAACGGCTGAGCCATCTCTCCAGCCCCACATGTAAACTTTTTAAAAAAGGAAAAACTGAAAATAAAAATTGCTTCCTTGGGAGCCTGGAGAGATGGCTCAGTGGTTAAAAGCACTGGCTGCTCTTGAAGAGGACCTACACCCACACAGCAGCTGACAATTGTCATTAATTTCAGTTCCAGGGGATCCACAGGCACTGTACAAATAGGTACACTCACATACAAGTAGACAAAACACTCATATACATAAAATTAATAAATAAATAAGTAAAGCCCATGTATTGCTCTTCAGAGGGCCTGAATGTGGTACCTAGCAATGATATCAGGGGGCTCACTCACAACTGCTCTAGGGGATCCTATATCCTGTGGCCTCTCCATGGGCACCCAATATATATACACAAGTCCATACACAGACACACACACAGTTAAAAATAAAAAAAATTTTTTAATTGTTTTTCTAAGACTATGTATACTAACTGAATTATCATTAATAAAATCAGCCACAATTATGGCCATATATACATATTATAAAAAATTGCCACTATTTTATTAGACTACATACAACAAGCATGAGGACCTGAGACTGGCTCCCCAGCAGCCATGTAAAAAGCCAGGCAACTCTGCACATGCCTCTATCTCCAACACCAGACAGGCAGTCGGGGATGTATCCCAAGAGCTCCCTGGCCAATCAGCCTAGCTTTCCCTTCAAAAAGTTTCTGCTTCGGTGAGAAACCTTGTCTCAAGGCAGTAAGGTGAAGAGGAATAGAGGAAACAATGAGGCCTTCATCTGGCCTCCCCATGGGCACACATGGCTGTGTATACGGAACATGAATGCAATACATACATATACCAAACACAGTCTTTTCTACACATAATTCAAACTACAGAGTCAGACCAACAAAATTAACAGATTTTACAATTGACAGTTGGTGTTCAGTGAATACTGCAGTGAAGTCAGTTTTTAATGAAATAAAAATCTGTTTTTAGGGGGCTGGACAGATGGCTCAGTGGTTAAGAGCACTGACTGCTCTTGCAGAGGACCCAGGTTCAAATTCCAGCACCCACATGCCAGCTAACAACCATCCATAACTCTAGTTCCACGGGATCCAATGCTTGCTTCTGACCTCCTTGGGCATTGGACTACATTGGTGCACTTACATACATGCAGGCAATGCACTTATACATATAGAAATTTTTTAAAGATGTTTTTAAGCCTAATCCCAGTACTTGGGAGGTAGAGGCAGGATCTTTGTGAGTTCAAGGCCAGCCTGGCCTACATACTGAGTTCCAGGTCAGCTGGGGCTACAGGGAGACCCTGACTCAAAAAGACAATAAATAAATAAATAAATAAATAAATAAATAAATAAATAAATAAATAAATAAAAGCTGTTTTTAATGATGTTAAAATGTAGGAAACACAAAATAAAATACTGGCCTGACAATGTTTTCATGTAAATCAACTTAGTCTTTTACTATATTCTCATTTATCTAAAAGTTGTTCTTCCCTAAGCAGTCTACACACTACTTTTCTGTGTTGTGCAGTACTAAGTAAAGCTTCTTAGGATATCACTTTCTAGCTTTCTGTGATGGCAAAGAAATACTATAAAAATCTAAATTTCACTCTCCAATATTTCATATAATCTCCACTCTATAGGCAAGGAATGGAAGCTCACCATACACTCCAGTTGTCCAAACTAAGAACCAGACAGTGAAGCTCAGATCTTGGTGTGGTGTAGTGCTTCAAGGCATGCTGTTCCTGAGAATCTCTGCCACAGCCCTAGAGAATCATAATCATAAACCTCAAAGCCATAAAACTCACCAAATGAAGAATTCATAATCAAGCACTAATACATAATTTCTTCAAGAACTCTTACCATTTTTGCATTTTTAAAAGTAACACGTTAGGGTTGGGTGAGATGGTTCACTAGGTAAAGCATCTGCTCCTAAGTCTGAGGACCTGAGTTAAATCCCGAGGATCCATACGGTGGAAGGAGAAAACCAACTCCTGCAAACTTGTCTTCTGATTTCTACCCCAGCCCTCAATTACATACACATGCACACAAAATGAATAAATCTCAAAAAAACAATGTTAGGCTCCAGAAAGAGTCTGGATTCTGTTGAAATTTAAATATCCACAGACAACTGAGGCAATTTAAGAAAAACAGTATTTTAGCACTAACATCACTCTGCCTTTCCAATTTGTACTTTACAGTCCCAATTAAACCACATGACCTCAGTGGTAGTACACTTGCCTAGCACGCACAAGGCCCTGGGTTCTGTTCCCAGCACCACAAAAAAGAAAAGTCCAGTTAAACAATACAAATACAGTCACCCATCGGATCTGGTTTCATCTCCTTAACAGCTTCCTAAAAGATTCTCTTTACCTCAGCCTCTTTCATCATATACATATTAGTTTATTACTTCTTTTTTTTAATATTTTATTTTTATTATTTTTATTTTATGTGTACGAGTATATTGCCTGCATGTATATGAGTGCACCCGTGTTGTGCAATGTAACAGGGGTCATAAGAGGGCTTTGGATTCCCCTGGAACTGGAGTTAAGGACGGTTCATAGCCGTCATGTGGGTGCTGGGAATCAAACCCGGGTCCTCTGCAAGAACAGTCAGTGCTCTTAACCTTTGAGCCATCTCTCCAGCCCCTAGTTTATTACTTCTAAAACACAGGTCTTTTCATGTTACAGTACAATTAAAATACTATGAATTACTCTCTTAAACTCATAAACAACATCCCCTGTCACTGGACTACCTTTCCAGTTAACCCCCATCGTCTCCTATTTGGCTAAAAACAGTCAGTCCACACAGGTGCTTTCCCAAATGTAGAATTCTGTTCACGTTATTCCAGGAAACATGGTGCGAAGGGTGACATCCTTATTTTCTATTTTGAGTTAAAGTTACCACTATTTAAAAAGATGTAGCACATTAATAAAAAATAAGTGCTGACTGGGGGTTGGAGAGTTAACAGCTTAGCAGTTAAGAGCACTTGTTCTTGCAAAGGACCTGGCTTCAGTTCCCAGCACCCACAATGGGAAGTTACCTGCTTGTAACTCCAGTATGACACCCCTTTCTGGCTTCTGCGGGCACCTGCACACATGTGGTGCACATACAGACAAGCAAGCACACACACATACACATTTTAAAAACAAAAAAAATTTAAAGAAAATAAACAATGTGTTAACTGAAGAACCCACCCAACAGGCACAGAAGACATTCACCTAGAAGTTGTATAAGCTTAATTCATAAAGGAACAGCACCAGATTCTCTGCCACCAGCTAGTTCTATCACTTCTAAGCACATCTGACTGTTTTCTATCTGAATGAGGGTACCAACTCTAGATCACACTGTGTAGCTTGATGAGAGCTCACAGACCAATCCACCCAAACCCAGAATTATCCTCAATGAAAGAGAGATACCTTGCCCGAGATTACAACTTCTTTCCAGGATTAGATACCATCCAGCACAGGCATAAAGGCCTGACCCCTTGCTTCTATTCAGGACACCAAAGGCCAGACACTATTGTATAATCCACTGATGCCCTCTTGCAAATGTTTCATCTCCTTTTGACTACTCCTACACCCGCCCCCACTCGTTACTACTGTGGTACTTGAGAGCACTCTCCCAAAAACCCAATACACAAAATCCCAGCCTCAAAATCACTTTGCCAGAGAATAAGATCTACATCACAGTCTTTTAGGTACTTTTACATAAGACCTATGAAAACAAACTAAGAGTTTTCCAAAATCCCATACTGATGAAAATCTAAGCATACCTGATGGCCACATTTAAGACATAGCCAAACTGAAGGATTTTCTTCTGTTTCTTCCTCAGAATTACCTTTTACTTTATTGTCTGTCTTACAGTCTTGGCAAATATTCCATTCCACATTCACTAAAGCTTTTTTCAAATTACCTTGTTCCAACCCTTTTCTAAGATGTTTGCACACAGGCTCTACTGAAAAAAATAAAAAAGGAATACATAAGATCAATGAGTTTTATTATTAATAGTAAAATGTACCCAAACTTAAAGATTAATTTACTCTATAAATAAGCTTTTAGAGAATCAGAACACTTCAATGTTGTTTCACATATGAATATCATGAGGTGATTATATGAGAAAGATGCTTTCATATGGGTGGCAGTGCTATAGTAGGGCAGAGCCTCACACATGTCAAAATGCACTCTATCAGAGGGGCTAGAAAGATGGTCCAGTGGTTAAGAGCACTAGCTGCTCTTACAGAGGACCTGCATTCGATTTCCAGAGCCTACATAGTGCCTAACAACTGTCTATAACTCCAGTTCCAGGGGACCTGACACCCTCTTCTGACCTCCTCAGGCAGGGCATGACAGAGATGCACCTACCTACATGCAGGCAATATACTCATACACATAAAAAATAAAAATAATTTTTTTTAATGCACTCTTTATCAACTGAGCTAAATCTCCCTAAAAAACAACAGGCCCAGAAGAAAATATCATGTCAGCAGGACAGGCAGTATTTTTGTAATTTCCTTTCTTTTTTCCTTTGTAATGTTGGGGAAAGAACCATGGCCTCAAATACTAAGCAAACACTCTACCACTGAGCTATACCCCTAACCCTAAAAAACAGATTCTGTACAAATGTGCTTTTAAAAATATATATTTTTATTTCTGTATATATGTGTGAAAGTATGTGCATGTGGATGTGGATGGGTGGGTTGTGGAGCCTAGCCAGAGGACAGAAGGTGTTGATCCCTTGGAGCTGAAGTAAAACATGTTTGAGGGACACCTGGCTTGTTGCATGAGTGCTGGGGTCCAAACTTCATGTCCTCAGGACTGCACTTGAGCCATCTCTCCAAGCCCAAAACTTGGCTTTTTGAAATTCTAAATATAATTGCCACTCCTACAAATCATTCCATTTATTTAGCTATCTTCTTTTTTAATAAAAGAGTGGTTTTTTTCATGTGTATGAATGTTTGCCTGCATGTGTGTGTACCATGTATATGCCTGGTGCCTGCAGAGGCCAGAAGAGGGTGTCAGATCCCCTGGAACTGGAATTACAGATGGTTGTTATTCACCATGTGGGTGCGGGGAACCAAACCCAGGTCCTCTGCAAGAGCAACAAATGCTCTTAACCACTGAGCCATCTCTCCAGGCCCCCCTTTATTTGGCCCTTTTCTTTTCTTTTTTGGTCTTTTTCAGACAGGGTCTCCCTGTAGCCCCAGATGGCCTGGCACTTGCTATGTAGATCCACCTGCCTCTGCCTCCCAAGTGCTTGGACTAAAGGCATATGCCACTACACCTGGCTCTGGTTATTTTCTTTAAAGGTCCGTTATTAGCCCAGCGTGGTGGCGCATGCCTGTAGTCCCAGCACACTTGGGAGACAGAGACAGGCAGATCTCTGTGAGTTCAAGGCCAGCCTAGTCTACATAGTGAGTTCCAGGATAGCTCGGGCTACAGAGAGACCCTGTCTCAAAAAGACCGAAAAAAAAAAAATAGTAAAGGTCTGTTATCGTACTTTTTATTAAGCGTTCACTCACTTATTCAATAACACCTACTATAGCCTACAAATTACACTAGGTCCTAGTGAACTTCAAAGTGACCAAAACACACCTCTTCTCTTCTGGGTAGTTCATATTCTATCAGGAGCAGCAACTAAATAAATCAAAACATAAGAATCTCCAAAACATGGAATGAACAGAAAAAATGGCTAAAGGCTCCATTCCTATAAACTGTGTTGTGTTTTACATATACTATCTCATTTAATTCTCACAGTCACCTAGAAGGAAGACACTATTATTCCTAATAACAAAAAAGAAAAGTAAGATAAGTACCTAAGATCAAATAACTACTAGATAGCTTTATCAGAATCTGAAGTCAAGTCTCTCTGGCATCATAAAAAAACATGTCTTCAAGTAGTGAAGAACAAGCTGAAAAGGTCAATCCCACATATAAAGGTGTATAAAAACGAGTGCTATCTCCCTAAATGGTGGCGTCGTAAAATGTCTAAAAATGATAACTGAACTGGAGCCTGGAAATTGAGCTAGGGACAAGGGAACAAAGGCTTTGAAGGCATTCTAAAGGGTCTGAGCTGTCTCAGGGAAACTGGAGTCTTAGCAATTAGTCAATGGCACAGCTGGCTTTATAGCCAATGGACACATATCAAGAAAAATAATACTGTTGCAAATAAGATCATGCAGAAACACTACTGAATCCCACTAGTTTTCCCAAGAGGGGAAAAAGAAATATCCTTTAAAACACCAAATTAGTGAAGATGTTTACAAATGATACTGCCTAGTACTGGCAAAGGTTCAGGAAACAAGACCCATTTTTTGTGCTGTTCAGGGACCTGTACATTAGCAAAACACTTCTGAATGGCAATTTAGCAAGAGAATCAAAGGGCGTTGAAAATTGCCATGTGCTTTCATTTTATTTCTAGGATCTGTATCAAGAAAACAAGCAGCTAAGCACAGATGTACAGCAACAAAGCCTGGTACTGTTCCATTCAGAACACTGAAAAGTTCAAGACTTCCCCAGTCTGTAACAGGAGACTAGCTCACTAGATTATGAAATATACAGCCATAGTCCTTTATATCAATAGAGTAGGGGATCATTAAAAACTAATGTAGGCTGGGCGTGGTGGCGCACGCCTGTAGTGCCAGCACTTGGGAGGCAGAGGCAGGCGGATCTCTGGGAGTTCAAGGCCAGCCTGTTCTACATAGTGAGTTCCAGGACAGCTGGGGCCACAGGGAGACCCTGAAAAAAAAAAAAAAAAAAAAAAAAAAAAAAAACTAATGTAGATGATGATCAAATGACACATACATACAAATATTAAAATAGGGCCAGTGAGACAACTTAGCAGGTAAATGCACTGGATGTGCAGACCTGATGACCGGAGTTTGACCTCCAGAACCCTGGTGGAAAGAGAGAAAGCTACCCCTGCAAGTTGTCCCTCTGACCTCCATACATGCACTGTGGCACACCCACACCTGCACTCACACACACATATCATATACACAAAATAATAAAACAAAAATTAAAAAGAAAGCCGGGCGTGGTTGTACACGCCTGTAGTCCCAGCACTCAGAAGGCAGAGGCAGGCTGATCTCTGTGAGTTTGAGGCCAGCCTGGTCTACATAGTGAGTTCCAGGCCAGCTGGGGCTACAGGGAGACCCTGTTTCAAAAAGATGCCCCCCAAAAAAAAAATTAAAATTAAATGAATAGCAAAATACTGATAATGTAACAATATACACTTTGATATGATCTTATATGTGAAAATATCCATTTAGGGATATTGACATTGCTTTAAAGAGTCAACAGATGAAATTTACCTGAAGACTCAGAGGAATCATCAACTGGAACAGTTTTCCCCTTTGTCCGTTTCTTTCCCATGCTGACACTTTATGGATTGCTTACTGACACAAAATTACAATCTAGAAAACAAGATAAAGTCAGCTTAACCAAAATCACAAAGACAAAAGAAAAAATGCTTTACATGGTCTAGGAAATACAGACATATAACTAAGCCACATTCAAGACTTTACACGACTATCATACTTCATAATTTACAAACAGCGCTGGCACATACCATTAAATTTTTAATAAGAACTCTGAAGTGCATAGAATAGAGTATTATCCTGGCTTTCAGACCCTGGGAGAAAGGTTCTTAGCCAAGTTAGGTGGTTTCCAATAAATGTAAAGATAAGTGGAGAGTCCCAAACTTCTTACACCCCTCTTATGCCTCAATGCCTACTACTGAAAGGTATTCAACTCTCACTACATAAACTTTAAAATTCTGAAAACAATATGCTCAGAGTTTTCAAAAATTTGCAAAATAATTTCAAAATGAAGTATTCGTGCCAAAATCTCTTCAATGACTTGCAACAATTTCTTTATACCTGAGATGCCTATCAAAATCTGATTCAACAAATGGAAAGTAGGTTGTGGAGAAAACACTCCCACTTAATTCCTTTTTACAGGGACTCTGCCACTAAACTATACCCGAGTCCAACTTCCAATTAATTCTTATCTTTAGCTTTCATTATCATCCTGTGTACAGTCTTATTCCTTCATTTGGCTCTAAAGAGGGTAGTGTAACTGAAGGAAATTCAAAGAGCTTTGTATAAAAAATGAGAGCCAAATCAAGTCATTATTCTTTTAATCTCTGTACACCTTTTTGTTATTCTTTTCAGTGCTGGAGATTAAATCATGCTAGACAAGATGCTAGGCAAACACTCTACTACTGAGCTAAGTCCCCAACCCTTTACAAGCATGTTTACAAAACAAACCAATGGGAACTAGGGATGCAGATCAATTGGTAGAGTGCTGGCTTATACCATGCATAAAGCCTCTGGGGTTGAATTCCCAGCACCACAGAAACCAGAAGCAAGAGTATCAAAATTGAAGGTCATCATCAACTACTACATACTGAGTTTGAGGCCAGACTGGGATATATGAAACCCTGCCATATACATATACATAACACACACACATATACATAACACACACACACACACACACACACACACACACACCTATATACATAACACACACACATATACATAAGACACACACACACACACACGAACACAAAGTATGCAGGGCTGTGTGTAAAAATGTGGTATATGAGGCTGGAGAGATGGCTGAATGGTTAAGAGCCCTGACTGTTCTTGCAGAAGACCTGGGTTCAAATCCCAGCACCCACACCATGGCTAACAACCATCTGTAACTCTAGTTCCTGGGGATCTGACACCCTCTTTTGTCCTCTGCAGGCACTGCTCCACACAGGTGAACTCACGGACTTACAGTTATGCAGGGATAACTATATTCATACACATAAAATAAAAAGAAATTTAAAAATTTAAGGTATCTTTTTAGAAAAAAAAGCATCCAAATTCGTTCTCAAATAATGCCATTTGTATCACATCATTCTTTGACTAAAGCATTTAATGGCCAAACAGTGTAAGTTCATACTCTGGAACTTGTCCCTTTTAATTTGGCCCCAGTGCATTGGCAATCCTGACTCCCATAACTCCTCAATAAAAACAAGTATTAGTTATAATTAAATGTGGTTTTGATCTTCAAAATGCTTCCACAAGCATTTCATCTGAATTTCACAATTCTTTAAATGAGGACACTCACTAAAGGAAAAAAAAAATCATAAACAAAATGATGAAGGAACACAAAGTAAGAGATGTAATTAAATTTAGTTCTTTAGGTTCTAAGATCACAATTCTGTTCCCTTCCAAACAAGTCCATCTTTTCAGTATCCTCTACTCCAAAATATCTGCCCCATCTTCTGCGTCTAACACCTAAGAGTTTTCTGTCTGTCCAAATCTTACCAATTCTCAAAGCTTTCCATATTTCAGTGAAGCTTTAAGAAAAGTCCACACCAATAATTGCTCCAATGAACTTCCCCAAGTGCATAGTACGCACTACCCTCTTGTTCCTTTACCAGATATTAAACTGCCTTTTTTTTTTTACTAACACCTAAGAGTTTTCTGTCTGTCCAAATCTTACCAATTCTCAAAGCTTTCCATATTTCAGTGAAGCTTTAAGAAAAGTCTACACCAATAATTGCTCCAATGAACTTCCCCAAGTGCATAGTACGCACTACCCTCTTGTTCCTTTACCAGATATTAAACTGCCTTTTTTT